CAGAAAGGCAAAAGTGAGGAGGAGGCTGGTCTTGTCGATCAATAACTTTAGTTTGTGTATGTGTGTGTTGAACCTAGAGCCCCCTCTTTTCCTTTGGCATTGGTGCTATTCCATGAATAAATGTTTTGGAGCTTTTAAATGTTTCTGCTTCTGTTTTTGTTTTATCAAGCTTAGACTTTGGTACCTTGAGTATTTAATGAGTTGGTTTTACTCTTGAGCGCAAGAGCTTCAACTTGTGTTTATATATGCAAAAAATTAAAACCTTTTAAACTTGAACTTGTTTGATCATGTTAAATCTCCTGTCACAAGTTTTTGGTTTCTCTGTTATGTTTGTGTGAACGAGTAGATACATTCTGAGACCTTTGCACTGTATCCCAGCACCTGACGGATCTTGACTTGAGAAGAAGAGCGGAACTCGACCTATAACTTTCTTTCTTCTTTGCTTCTATCTCATGACTTATGGTTTTGATTCTGTTCGAGAGATGATCAGTGTTTGGATTTCAAACTCCGGATTCTTTTTGTTGGCTTCAATTCAGCTAAGCTCCAAATCACTTTTGTGGCAATTTGCATAGGACTCATGACAAGAAAATTCAAATTCTAGAAAGACTTATACAGCTTTTGATGTAAGAACACAGGCGTGTGTATTCATACGTGAACACGAGAACGATCGTGAAAGACTTACCGGTTTATAGAAATGTTCAATTTAGTTCCGGTTCTTTCAGTTAACGAAAATTCTCTTCGGTTCGGTTTGATTTAACTTTCGGGATGATTTTATATCGATTTCGGATAAACCTTAACAGAAGAAAATAACACAATGGTTGACCAAAACTAACAACAGAAAATGGTTAGCTTCTGGTATATTATAAGTCGTTGCCATTCAAAACATTGGTATACAAGAGAGATAAAACTCGATACATTGAATATCATACACAAGCTTGAAACTGTCTTCATACTCAAACACATAAACTTGATCTCAGTTACTACACACCATTTTCATCTTCTTTCCGGTCTGATTTCAATCCCCTGAATAACCAAACCACTCTTCCAATGACCCATTTGAGTCTCCATAATACTAATCTCAATCTCATCACCATCGCCACGACCTTCACCATTGTCGATATAAACCTTCCCAAG